CATTCTTGTTTTTTAGACCCATCGCCACCATTGTTCCGCCAAATACGAGGGCAGCAATGATGGAAATGTACCATGCATTTTTTTAATAATTCAAAGTTTTAAACCAAAAWAATATATATAGATACGCAGCAGTAGACCGCATATGACGTGTAGAAACATATATGTGGTAGATGACAAGTGTGCGGTAGACTGCATACGACATGAATACCATTTTCTCTATTTAATACCATGCATAACTTTTTAGTTGTCTTACACAAAATAATAGCTCCATTGTCGATTTTCCTGACATAAGACCAAACTGATTTTCTAATATTGATATCTCACTTCCTTATCCTTTTCTCTATAATCTTTTCTACTTGCTTCGAAAGCGGAATATTAAACTATTGCAGGCGTTGATTTTCCAAGCAATCTTATCTATCTTCCCACTCCATAGCAATCTGATAAATCTAACTCTGAAACAATTAAACCTTCCTCTGCTGTTTCAAAAGTATGTATTTACTTACTGATTGTTGTACATTAAAAATACTAATCATTGGATAAAATTTCAATTTGTTTAAAATATTTTAGCCGTTAGTTATAATGTCATTTTTTTAAATGAAGAATAAAATATATCGCTTAAAAAGTGTTAATATTTCTTAAAATAATTCAAACTCTTGTGATGAGTAGATAATTCAAATCTCAAAAATATCATTAATAAATAAAAATTTAAAAAAATTAATTTAACTAGCTTATTATGATATATTTTAATCCTTCGTAAAATTACTATCTAGAATAATAGAATAATATATTATTTGAACATGAATAATGAAAAATTCTAGGATAAAAAATCGAAGAAAAAAGAGAATGTTGCTGTTACCACATCTATAAAGTCTGATAACACCAACACCAAAAAAGTAACAAAATTAGGGTTGGAAGTACTAAAGTTATCAGAAAATCTTGGAGAATGGTATTCTCAAGTGTTGGTTAAAGGTGAAATGATTGAATATTATGATGTTAGTGGATGTTATGTGCTCAGGCCTTGGGCTTACAGAATATGGGAATTAATACAAGAGTGGTTCGATGCACGGATTAAAAGAAACCCTCTTAATGTGCGGAATTGTTATTTCCCAATGTTTGTATCACAAGGAGCATTAGAAAGAGAGAAAGAACATATTGCAGATTTTGCACCAGAGGTAAAATTTCAACAATATAGAACATGAAATAAGATGAATGTTTACTGATATAATGAAATTAATGTCTTAATAGGTAGCTTGGGTTACCAAATCTGGTGATACGGATTTAGCTGAACCTATTGCTATAAGGCCAACTAGTGAAACTGGGATGTACCCAGCTTTTGCGAAATGGATTCAGTCTTATAGAGACTTGCCGTTGAAACTCAATCAATGGAACAGTGTTGTGGTACAGTATTTGACAAAATTTAAGTATAGAACTTTTGTGAGAATTTTATTTTAACATCTAATTTATTTATTTTAGAGGTGGGAATTCAAACACCCTCAACCTTTCTTGAGAACTAGAGAGTTTTTGTGGCAAGAAGGTCACAATGCATATGCAACTAGAGAAGAAGCAGAACGTGATGTATTAATAATATTAGGTTAGTTAAAAAAAAAAATTATTATAACTAATATAATTGTTAGTTATTTATTTATTTGTGATGTTTTTAGGTTATTATGAGTATGTTTACAAAAATATGCTGGCAGTACCTGTAATTAAAGGTAAAAAAACTGAAAAAGAAAAATTTGCTGGAGGAGAATTTACTACTACTTGTGAAGCATATGTAGCATCCAGCGGTCGAGCAATTCAAGGTGCCACATCGCATTATCTAGGTACCAATTTTGCTAAAATGTTTGATGTTCATTTTGAGCATCCAGACACACATGAGAAATCATTTGTTCATCAGATTTCGTTTGGTATGACAACTAGAACTATCGGTGTTATGGTAATGGTTCATGGTGATGACCGTGGGCTTGTTTTACCTCCACGCATTGCATCTATTCAAGTAAATATACAGTTCTCAAGCGTTTACAATGAATTTTAAATTAATTATTGATTACWATTTTGCTAAGCATATTACATTTAAATTTAGGTAATTATAGTACCATGTGGTGTAGGTGTTAGTACAGCAAACGATGTCAGAGATAATTTGATTAGAACTTGTTTAGATGTATGTAACCGATTAAAAGGAGATATTGTGTTAGACAATGATGATGAAAATGACAATAGCGTTATTCAACATCCTAATTCTACTTTAATGATAAGAGCAGATACTGATTTGCGAGATAATTATTCACCTGGGTGGAAGTTCAACCACTGGGAGTTGAAGGTATTTATTTATCCGTTGTTTTTTTAATTATGAATGATCTATAAAAGATATTTTAAAATTTAATTTTCAGGGGGTTCCATTGAGGTTAGAAATTGGACCAAAAGATTTGGATCGAAACCAAATGGTAGCTGTGCGGCGAGATAATGGAGAGAAAATAACTATCCCCTTAGAGGGACGTACAAAMAGTAATGATGGAAAAGACAAGATGGTTGTAAGAATAACAAAGTTATTGAATCAAATACAACAAGATATGTACGCTAAAGCAGAACAAGAAATGAAAGAAAATGTTGTGATATGTCGTAAATGGTCCGAATGTGGTGCACATTTAGCAGTGAAACGTTTACTAATGATACCGTTTTGTGGACGTCCAATTTGCGAAGATAACATCAAACGGGATACTACATTGTATGAACATATTGTACACACATAAGTTTAAGATTTAGTTTAATTTAATCTTTTTGTATTAATTATTCTATAGGGAGGACGGTACTGCAGAAGTGGGAGCTTCGACAATGGGAGCAAAATCGTTATGTGTGCCATTTGAACAGCCCAAGGGAGCAGAAGTATTAAAATCCAATGATCAATGTATACACCCAGAATGTGGACATATAGCAGGGTCGTTTACCTTATTTGGCCGCAGTTATTAAATTCAAATGTTCACTAAATGAAACTGAAAATGTCTGGCTTTTGTGTAAAAATGTAAACTCTTATGTTCATGATTAAATAAAATACCATTATTTATAAATAGTTATTTGTTTAATCATTATCTCTACGTACTACTATATTTCAACAATTTTTTTACATATTGTGTGTGGGGGGATTTATAATATTAATTCTGTATAAAACTGAATATGACTTTTWTAAATTATAGTTTGAATATAATATGAACTTTGATACATGATATCATTAATGAAATAATATAATATTATTATTAGGCTAAGATTTATATGCATTTACATAATATACAATTTGATTGGTCGTCAGA